GGGGGGATATAAGGAAGAGATTGATCATGCATATTATTATTATCATGCCATTTGAGTGATTGATGGCTATGTTGAGAATATGATTATAATTGTAGAAATGAGAACATGTAGTAATTATGCGAATAATGTATATGTGGCTATTTGTGCAAATTTTATACTTGACTTTATTCTTGAAATTATTCACATGAGTTAAATGTTAATGTGATTAACATGTTATTAATGTGATTGTTTGAATGGTCACCTTGATAAATTTATTGGTCACTTGCATTCATGATTAATTATCATGCATTTGTATAACTTAGATATACCTTGGTTACTGAGTGGTTGTACTCACCCCTCTCTTTTAACATATTACAGGAGCTAGCTCATCTGAGAAGAACAAGGAAAGGAGCATTAGGCCAAGTGATAATAATCACTTCTGTAGGCCTCTCCCTTTTATGTTGATATGTGTATTTAGTTTATGATATTGCCAATTAGGATAATATATTCTTGATCCATTTGCACTATGGGTTTTGTGTAGGATGGAAAGGTATTTTGGGCTCTTGAGATTGTGTTTTGATGCTTGTATTATATTAATGGGTCAAAATATTTGTGCAAGTAAAAATAGTTATTATCATGCTTCCGCATATGTTTTATTTGAATGATATGAGTTCTTAAAATATTTTTAAAGACTTGGATTCCTTTTATTAAATAGTTTGTGAAAAATAAATACATATTAAGAATTCATTTAGGTTAATCTCGTATTATATAATCCATTTGGGTTAGTCCTTGATTAACCATGGTTAGTATGATGATTAAGTCCTAATTTAGGATGCCCGTTACAAATTGGTAGCAGGTTCTCAAGTTTTGAGAATTGGACTGTGGTTGGTGTGTGACTTTATATGATTCTGTACTATATTGTACTTGCATTTGCATATAGAATTGGCAATTTTCATTATACACATATTCTTTTCCTCAATGAGCTAGCACTAACTATTTTTCATTTGTGGTATTACTTCCATCCTTAGGAGGGGAGAATATAGTACTAACCAGGAACACTGCTGCTAATAATTTAGCAATTCCACAAAGACTAGAGGATCGGGTAGTGGTGGAAGATGAAACAACACCAGTTCAAGTCCAACAAGGACAGGTAGTGCCAGAGTTACTAAACCCGACTGAGCAAGTTCAAGTCTTGACTCAAGCAGGACCTTCTACACAAGCTCCAGTTCAAGCTATTCCTACGACTGGTAATAACAATGATGTAGCCCTCCTTACTTCAATATTGATGGACATCCAGAAGAGGATGGATGTTTATGACCAAGTTATATTAGGGAAGGCTGCTGAGGGAAATAGCAAAGTCATTGTGAACGCTACTGGTAACCCTGAGGAGAAGCAAGGGGAAGTGAATTTGGAAGTCAACAATCAACAAGAAGAGAGTCCTTTAAGGATTTTGAATAAAGTGATCAAAGTAACTCTGTGAGGCAGAGGAAAAGGGAAAATAAAGGCAAAGAGAAAGTGGAAGAGGTTACCATTGACCATGCATTCAAGAGGTTTGCAAGATTGAGCCCGCCATCATTTGAGGGTTTATGGTAGACCGAGCTGGCGAGAAATGGATTGATGAATTAGAGTCCATTTTCTCTATGATGACTTGCACTACTGAACAACGGGTCCGATTGGCTACTTTCAAGCTTAAAGATATGGCAAAACAATGGTGGGAAAGTATTAAGCCTATTGATGGATCTGAATTGACTTGGGAGCAATTTAAGAAGAGGTTTCTTTGCCCACTACTTCCCGCCAACTGTAAGGGCAGAAAAAAAGTTGAGTTCCATAACTTAAGACAAGGCAATATAGATGTTGAAGAGTTCATAGCCAAATTTAATGAGCTCTCTAAATATTCCTTGTACTTGAGGAGTAATGCTGATGAAGAAGGAAGTGTGAGCAGTTCCTAGACAAGATGAGACCTGAGTATAGCAGGCAACTGGCAGCTCATGATATTGATTCATTTGAAGTCATGTGTAACAAGTTTAGGGCTGTTTGCTAAAGAAGCCAGATGAATGATGGTAACCGGCGAGATGGCCAAGGCTGATATTCCTCTTTTATGGGCCCCACTGGGGGTATGAGTAAGAAGTCAAATTATACCTCGGGATTCTCTAAGGGTTACAGTGGAGGTGGAGGAAGCAGTAAGAAGAATTTCTCTAAGAGACCACAATCTAGAGGATCCCAAACTAAGAGCTTCCATTTCAAGAGCTTTGGAGGCCGGAGCCAAGCTTTAAGGCAAGACTCAACTTTATCTATCATGGGACCACCAGTAGTACGACCATATTGTGATAAATGTAGAAGATTCCACGTCGGGACTGTTGGGCATGCTATAAATGTAACAAGATGGGTCATATTGCTCGTAATTGTCCAGAGGCTATGACTGATGGGAGATCTATTATTCCTGCTCGTGTCTTCACGATATCTAAAGAGGAAGCAGAAGCTTCTCCAAATTGATCAAAGGTATGATTGTCCTTAATGACAAACAAGTAGAAGCATTATTTGATTTAGGTGCTATGCATTCTTTCATTGCACTAGATTGTATGATTAGACTAAAATGTTTGCTTGTGAAATGGATGTTGTTATGAATGTTTCTACGCCGACTGGGGCCTCTGCTAAGACCAGCCGTGTGTGCTCTAATGTCCACTTGAAGTTTGGTGATAGGGTTACAATTATTGACTTAATTTGTTTACCTTTATTGGGAATTGATGTGATTGTGGGAATGGACTGGCTGTCGGCTAATGGAGCAACTTTAGACTGTAACAAGAAGACAGTCCTATTGCCAGTAGATACTACCATTTCTAAATTCCCTGAAATGACTGTGCGTACCATTATGGTAGACATAGAAATGCCTAAGTTCTTGTCTGCTATGGAAGTCAAGAAGTCAGATCAAGAAGGATGCCAAATGTTCATGGTGTTCTGCTCAGTACAAGGAGACAAAGAACAAAAGATTGATCAGATAAAAGTAGTGAAAGAATTTCCTGAGGTTTTTACAGAAGATGTGAATGGTTTGCCACCAGAGAGAGAAGTTGAATTCTCAATTGATTTAGCTCCAGGTACCGAGCCAATTTCAAAGGCTCCGTATCAAATGGCCCCTGCAGAATTAAAAGAGTTAAAGAAGCAACTAGAAGATTTGTTAGCTAAGGGCTTCATAAGACTGAGTATATCACCATGGGGATCACCAATTCTTTTTGTGAAAAAGAAAGATGGGAGTATGCGATTGTGTATCGACTACCGCCAGCTTAACAAGGTGACAATCAAAAACAAATATCCGTTGCCACGGATTGATGATCTCTTAGATCAGTTGGCTGGAGCGGTGGTATTCTCAAAGATTGACTTGAGGTCTGGGTATCATCAGTTGAGGGTAAAGGTAAGGATGTACCTAAGACAGCTTTCAGAACAAGGTATGGGCACTATGAATTCCTAGTTATGCCATTTGGGCTAACAAATGCACGGCGATATTTATGGACTATATGAATAGAATCTTCAGGCCCTACCTAGATAAGTTTGTTGTTATCTTTATTGATGATATTCTGATCTACTCGAAGAGTGAAACAGAGCATGAAGAGCATTTAAGATTAGTGCTACAGATTCTGAAAGGGAGGCAACTTTATGCCAAGTTGAGTAAATGTGAGTTTTGGCTGAATGAAGTGAAGTTTTTAGGGCATGTTGTTTCTGAGGAAGGTATTGCAGTTGATCCTCACAAGGTCGATGCGGTGTTGAAATGGGAACGACTGACCTCAGTATCAGAAATCAGAAGTTTCTTGGGGTTGGCCGGCTATTATAGGAGGTTTATTGAAGGGTTTTCTCAAATAGCATCGCGTTGACTAAATTGACCAGGAAAGACAAACCTTTTTTGTGGACCAAAGAGTGTGAAGAGGCTTTTATCACCTTTGAAAGAAGTTGACGACTGCACCCGTCTTAACTATCCCTGATCCTAAGCAATCATTTGATGTTTATACAGATGCATCGCTTAAGGGTCTTGGATGTGTTCTCATGCAAGATGGCAAAGTTGTAGCATATGCATCAAGACAATTGAGGCCTCATGAAATGAACTACCCCACTCACGATCTAGAGCTAGCAGCTGTTGTCTTCGCTCTTAAGATCTGGAGACATTACCTCTATGGTGCACGATTTGAAATGTTTAGTGATCATAAAAGTCTTAAATATTTGGTAGACTAGAAGGAGCTGAATATGAGGCAAAAAAGATGGATGGAATTCTTAAAAGACTATGAGTTTGAACTGAAGTACCATTCGGGGAAGGCCAATGTAGTGGCCGATGCCTTAAGCAGAAAGACCGTGCATGTAGCTTGTATGATGATTCATAAACAGAAGTTATTAGAAGATTTCTCTAGTTTTCCACAAAATATCCCAGATTATTCTATGTTCAATTTGAATACTACGGTGCTTACAATTGAATTTTGGGATAAGTTGCGAGCAGCTCAGTTTGAAGACCCATACTTGTTAGAAGTTCGAAAGAACTTAGATGAGAAGATGACTAGCACAGATTTCACTTTTAATGATAATGGTCTTGTAGTCTACAATGGGAGGGTTTGTGTTCCTGATGTGAAAGTGTTGAAGGACACAATTCTTGCTGAAGCTCATAGAAGCAAATTCACCATCCACCCCAGAGCAACCAAGATGTATCAAGACATGAAGCAGTACTGGTGGTGGCATGGTCTAAAGCGTGATGTGACGGAGTATGTGAGCAAGTGTCTAACTTGTCAGAGGGTGAAAATAGAGCATCAGAGGCCTGGCGGTTTATTGCAGCCGTTGGAAATTCCAACCTGGAAGTGGGAAAGCATTTCCATGGACTTTATTATGGGTTTGCCTAGAACACAGGCAGATATGATGCAATATGGGTCATTGTTGATAGATTGACAAAGTCAGCCCATTTTCTACCTATCAGAGAAGGTTATACCATGGATAAATTCACGGAACTGTATATCCAAGAGATTGTATGATTACATGGAGTGCCTAAGGATATGGTTTCAGATCGTGATCCAAGGTTCACCTCAAACTTTTGGAAGGCGATGAATGATGCTATGGGTACTCAATTGAAGTTCAGTACAGCATATCATCCATAGACCGATGGTCAAACTGAAAGAACAAATAAAACACTTGAAGAGATGTTACGCGCATGTGCATTTGAGTGGACAGGTAGTTGGGACAAGCATCTACTGTTAGCGGAATTTGCCTACAACAACAGTTATCATTCAAGTATTCATATGGCTCCATATGAGGCGTTGTATGGTAGAAAGTGTAGATCTCCACTTTGTTGGACCGAGTTGAGTGAAAGAAGCATTATAGGTCCAGACATTGTTGACCAAACCACTCAAAAAATTGAGATGATCCGACAAAAATTATTGACTGCTCAGAGTCGGCAGAAGAGCTATGCAGATAGGCGACGAAGACCTTTGACTTTTGAGGTAGGCGACCATGTGTTTTTGAAAGTATCACCAATGACAGGCATTGGAGGTCAATAAAAGTAAGAAATTGACTCCTAGATTCATAGGTCCTTTTCAAATCCTATAAAAACTTGGGACTTTGGCCTATCGAGTTGCCTTGCCACCTCATTTGTCAGGAGTTCATGATGTATTTCATGTCTCTCAATTAAAGAAATATCAACCCGATCCGTCTCATATAATTGAACCTGAAGAGGTTGAGCTAAAGGAGAACATGACATATCGAGTAGAACCAAAAAGAATTGTGGATGTAAGGGAGAAGCAATTGAGAAATAAGACCATTCGCTTGAAGGTATTCTGGAAAGGAATGGCCCCTGGTAATGCAACCTGGGAAACTGAGGAGAAGATGAAACATTCATATCCTCATTTGTTTGAGCAAGGTATGTTCCCTATGATTATTCGAATTTTGGGGACAAAATTCTTATTAGGAGGCGAGAATTGTAACATCCCAATTTAAATTTTAATAGTTAATTTGGGTTAATAGAAATTTAAAAAAAAAGAAAAAATGTCTAAGGAAAGAAAGAAGAAGAAGGAGAAGAAGAAATCGCTTTCGGTGCTCTCCCACGGCAATCATGACACATACATATATAATAATAAAAAAAAGAAGAGAGAGGAAAGAGGAAAAAAAAAAAAACATGTGGGACCCACGGTATTTTTTTTTTAAAATCACCCTCCTTCCTTCATTTCTTCATTTCATCCCTGTACGCGAGCTGAGGCAGAGAGCGAGTGAGAGAGCGAGCGACATTGATGGAGAGGCTGACTGATTTAGAAGGTGAAGCTCCATAATAGGATACTTCATATGAGATTTTAAGTATTCTAAAACTAGGTAAGTGTTCTAAACATTTTTCTTAGTCATATTTTCTCTTTGGTTTCTGATTTTGTGGTGGTAGAAAATTTAAGATTTGGAAGAGGGATGAATTTATGTTGAATAAATATGGTTTTTGAGGTTGTTAGTAGTGTAATAAATATTCTAGAGTATTATTTTGTTGATAGAATTGGAATTTGAGGCATTTGAGTTTATCCCTAGATTTCTATGGGTAGATTTTTAGGTAAATCTGAAAATATAAATTGATTTATTGATATTTAGATGATTATTTGAGATGAGAAATAAATTATTATGGCTATAGAATAATGATTCTAGGCTTGAAATCAAGTTTGCAATTTTTGGTATTTTTATGTGCGAATTTTTGGAATAAAAAGAGAAATTTTGATATTAGAAAAATATTTGAATGAAATTATTGTGAAGGAGACTATTAAACCAAGTAGATAGGTTCAAATACATGAAATTAAATTTTAGAATTCAAGAGACTAAGACTAATTTCTTAAAAAATAAATAAAAATAAATAAATAAATAAATAAATAAAAATAAAATAATACTTAGGTGTTAGAGTATGAGTGAAAATTGTGTTAATAATATTATTGACACATTGGGATATGATCAATTGTAGATTAATTTTCTTTTACACCATTCAAGCTTTGGAAAGCTTTGGAAGTGTTGTAACTTGAGGGGTAACCTTTGACCTCTCAAAGGTTGAGGTAACCGAGGAAAATCTATTTTATGCATTTGTATATTAATTAATTAATTATGTTGGTGAAACAAAAGAATATATATATATATATATATATCTAAATTTGAAATAGTTGTTTGTAATGCATGTGGCTTTGTTAGACCTTATGATTTGTGACCAAGTTAATTGTGACTTGGTATAAGTAATGAGATTGATGTTGATGATGATGTGCACAATCTTGACTATAAATTATGAATTATATATATGAGTTTTTTTAAATGCATTTTTTTATTAGTATGATCATATGGCTGGAGTTCGCCTTAGTGAAGGAGTTAGCGATTACACAAAATCATATGGTATTTGCTATTAACCAATAATCCTAGGGGTTATAGCCGCTACTTACCTTGTAAGGTACTGTAGCATTGTTCCTATTAAGGGACTTGACCCTACTGGCCTACCTGGAGTTTGGGTAGAGCTAGTTTTGGGTATGACACCCCATAGTGTGTGATTTGGGGGAAACCGTGTTCATAAGTGAGTAAGGTAACCCTGGCCCGGTAGCCCCTCATGATATGATTAAGGCTTTGGGTAGTCTCACCACATGGATGATCCCTTCCGGTTGTTGGCCCACGGATTTCATGTCAGAGGAAATAAGGGGGGATATAAGGAAGATTGATCATGCATATTATTATTATCATGCCATTTGAGTGATTGATGGCTATGTTGAGAATATGATTATAATTGTAGAAATGAGAACATGTAGTAATTATGCGAATAATGTATATGTGGCTATTTGTGCAAATTTTATACTTGACTTTATTCTTGAAATTATTCACATGAGTTAAATGTTAATGTGATTAACATGTTATTAATGTGATTGTTTGAATGGTCACCTTGATAAATTTATTGGTCACTTGCATTCATGATTAATTATCATGCATTTGTATAATTTAGATATACCTTGGTTACTGAGTGGTTGTACTCACCCCTCTCTTTTAACATATTACAGGAGCTAGCTCATCTGAGAAGAACAGAGGAAAGGAGCATTAGGCCAAGTGATAATAATCACTTCTGTAGGCCTCTCTCCTTTTATGTTGATATGTGTATTTAGTTTATGATATTGCCAATTAGGATAATATATTCTTGATCCATTTGCACTATGGGTTTTGTGTAGGATGGAAAGGTATTTTGGGCTCTTGAGATTGTGTTTTGATGCTTGTATTATATTAATGGGTCAAAATATTTGTGCAAGTAAAAATAGTTATTATCATGCTTCCGCATATGTTTAATTGAATGATATGAGTTCTTAAAATATTTTAAAGACTTGGGATTCCTTTATATTAAATAGTTTGTGAAAAATAAATACATATTAAGAATTCATTTAGGTTAATCTCGTATTGTATAATCCATTTGGTTAGTCCTTGATTAACCATGGTTAGTATGATGATTAAGTCCTAATTTAGGACGCCCGTTACA